TATCTATCTATCTATCTATCTATCTATCTATCTATCTATCTATCTATCTATCTATCTATATTTCAGTTCAATATAATCAACAGACATTCAACTTGTTGCTCAAATGACAATTGCTCTCCCTTCCTCTAGTCTCCTTGCCAATTACAGTAAACTATGACATTCCAAAGTAATTTTCAGCAAGATATTATGGCAGATGTAAGTAAGTAAATGTAAGCACAAACCACTTTATCTTGGTCTGGTTTTACAAAAGTAATGCAATTTACATTTCTCAGAACATAAGCTAAACTGAACAATTGTGTGTATGATCAGTCCCTGATGCTCTCTGAGCTTGTTTTCTTGCAGACATTTTATTACCCAAACTAGATAACATCTATCAGTGCATTGTGTACACGTGTCTATTTGATATAAATGTAAATGCATTCATGAAAACTTTCTGTTACATTACGTTGTACTCTTTCTATATATGTGAATCATAGAATCTACATTAGTTTTCCTCATCAAGACACTCAGCATGATGGGTCTAATTGTTCACTCATCATTCAATCCTAAAATCATTGAATAATTATTACCTTGTTAAGACCCTCCATTACTACATATGGCAGATGTTCATGTAGCATTGCTGGAGAAATTATCACTTCATTAAATGCCTTGTTGTCTCCCCAAATGGCAAAGTATGTAGGTTCTTCCTGATCACAGCAGCTGTAAAAGATATCAGATGAGGCAGTCATTAACTGTCACTTCTAATTACTTTACCTCTTTCTGAGACTACTGTGTTATACAAGCAGAATAAACAAAGAATTCATTCAAATCATCTGCCTTATTTGCAGCATTTTCCTTACATAACTTTTTAATTCAAGAATCTGGATGATTAATAAACTATTTCATTGCATAACATTGCATTTTATTGTATAAGTATATACCAATATTATACAATGTATTTCTTTAGACACATGACTGTCAGTAGACATTAAGCATAACTGTACTGCAAGGCAAAAAAAACCTAATGAAAAAGCATCAGGGACAGGTCCGTATTGTAGTTCTTAGCTGAACTATAATTACACCTGATTCAGAAAATCAACTTTGTAGCTTATCTTTCAACTAATAAAGCAGATACCCAGCTGCTTTGTATTGTGAATAGACAGTGAATTGCCTTTGTTTCAGGACTTTTAATTTTTGGTTAATTGAAATGACCAGCACCATTATCTGCAAACAATTTGGGTGGGTGTTATCTTTATCCAGCTTTACATTTTTTAGCTACATTTGGGGTGGGAAAAGAGGAGAGATAATTATTTAATTTTGCTGTGTGTATAGAACATGTAAAACAAAACTACCATTCCCTGGGAAATAATAATGAAAATATATACAGCACAGGAAGCATCACCAATGTTAAAAGTTGTAAGAGATATTTTGAAAAAACCAGACCTATATTTTTCATCCTTAAAAAAACCTGATAGGTTTGCTAGTCATTATTCCTCCACTTACCAGCAATGTTCAACAGGATGATTATGAACCACATGGATGATGTGCCCAGGAGGATAGAGAGGTGTGCTGGCTGATAGGGCAATTGTTAAGTCACTAGGATGAGTCCAGAGGCGGTTACTGGTTACTGAGTTCCCTTCAGGCTCTTCCGGGAGCTCAGACTTGGGTATGCATTTGGTTGCACCAACTATGATTCTCCACTATCCAAGGGGAAAAAAGGAATGAAGGAATGTGAACTGGCCACTATTAAAAGCTAGCATATGAAAGAAAACAGGAGTCATACCTTTTCTCGTGGTTTTAATCTTTAAAGTGTGTGTGTGTGTCTGTGTGTGTGTGTATCAGAAGCCACAAAATCTCAGCTTGACAGACTGAACATTTTTGTCCACTTAGACTTAACATTGTGTACCTTTATTCAACTACAATGTGTTAATCAATACAATAGCAGAAATCAATCAATACAGTATATTACAGCTGAAACCACATTTTGTGTAATTCATATGTTCTGTAGTCTTGCATTTATATTTATTGATTTATGCCAGAGAAACTGTGCTATGGTAGTTAAAATAATGAATAAGGATTAAAGACACTCAGGTTCAAGTCCACCCTTAATCACTTAAGTCATTAGATAATTTTGGCCCAGTCATTTTTTCTCTGTCCAATGTAACCTCAGGGTTGTTGTGAAAAATACTGGAAGAGTGGGTGTTATATAGACCTGTGAATTCCTGGAGAACAAAACAGGATATACATCTAATAAATGCATATGCACATAGCACAACAATGTGCTAAGATATGCATATATATTCTTTAAAAGGAATCTTTAAAAATCATCCTGACACTTAAGTAGGTTTAATGATAAACTAACTTCCCTCAATGATGTATTAGTAAAACTGAAGTGCTATGCTAAGAACACATCTTTAAAAATGTGTCAGTTTGAGAATGAGTCCGGTTAAGAATTCCAATACTTTTAAAACTACAAAAGCAACAATAGAAATTGAACAGAAAATGTGAAATGTACTATACATATTTAGAGAAAATTAATACAATGTTTATTGATTGTCAAAATAAATAATTCATACTAAAAAAAACCCTGCAAGAAATACAATAATTCATAGAATGAAAACATTTTAAATATTTTTTTCTTTCCCTGCTGCTTCCTGTTAAGTAACTGTACTTCTATTAAGTAATTAGGTATTAATAAGCTTCATATTCCTACAAAGTATATAAAGTTGGCTTTGCACATGGTTACAGCTGCTAGGACACTTTATACTTCTCACTTGGAATTACACATAAACCTCTTTAGATGAATGACAGACTATGCTATAGGAGTATGCAGTGTTGCACAGTTTTAAATTGTCATACATCTTACACTAGTGAAAGACTTGGGCAGCCTATAAATTTAATAAATGAATGAATAAATAAAAAATGAAAGCAGTATCAACTCTGTATTTTTAAAAATAGTCCAATAATTTAACATGAAAACAATTTATGAATTACAATTCTACAGCTGGATATGTACCATATCCAAAGTGTGGCAGTCTCTTAACAGCCAATATCAAAACCATATATCACTGATAGGAAACTGCCAGCTAGGCTGGAAGGGGGGAAGTCAAACAGGGGCTTAGCTTTCGTGCAGCCACAAAAGGCATAAGCTTGTCTAAACCCAAGATCCACGAAGCCTCATTGGGTTGTTTCCAGGGAAAGGCAAGTGAGTCTGGGGAGATTCTTGTAATTTAGGTAGAGAACAATAAAGTTCTTTGCTTCAGCCATTTTTGAGCAGGTCTGGTTGCTTAGGCCTGACAATTAGAAGACAACTACAACTGGCATAAATCCTAAACAAACAAAAAAAGATTAAAGAAACAGATTTATAACAATTATTTTCATTTCAGATAGATTTGAATTTTTTTTACCTTTGGTTTATTACTTCTCTGCAAAACATCAAGAAGTTGCCGGCGAAATCCTTCCAATTGTGAGAGGCCAATCCTGAATGATAAAGAGTATCAGATGCAATGATGCAGGTTTAACTATTATGAGAATTATAAATAGAAAAGCAAAGAGAGATTTAATCAACTATAACTTACCCATGGTATAATATAAGGACAAAGTATATAAACACCCTGGTTTTCATCCATTATCCATAAGATTTAGATAATAAATACAGTATATTTAGATACTGTACACTACTAATAACCAAACAAGAGTTCAAGGGCTTAGCAAATAACACTTGCTTACTATTCTAATAGTAGGAATCTAAAACATACAGTTGACCAAATATATGCAGGAAGAGTTACTATGCTCTTTAGGGCAGTGTTTCCCAACCTTGGCAATCTGAAGATGTCCGGACTTCAACTCCCAGAATTCCCCAGCCAGCAAATGCTGGCTGGGGAATTCTGGGAGTTGAAGTCCGGACATCTTCAAGTTGCCNCCCCCCCAAATTCTATGGATAAACTGGGACTCAAGATAAATTATTCCTGCTGGGGGCAAGAAAGTAAGCAAGAAAAATCTTAAGGACACCATCAAACAACTTTTTTTAAAAAACAACCTCTAAGAAATGACAATAAAATCGCTTTCAGGTCAGACGTGACATTGTAGTGCAATAGTTTAATCTACCACCAGGAAAACAAATTAAATTCTTCTTCAAGCAAAGTTGCATCAGCTACCTGATTGTTTTCAGTACTCTCTAAATCTAAAACAATTCTTTTAAGTAAGAAGCTTATGTGGTGTAACCTCAGTATATTTTTAACAACATTACCTCAAATAATACATCATATACGCTTCTTTCAATTATAAGCATAACCACCACCCCATCTGATGTTCTCATGACCTAGCATGGGAAGATTATTTAATTTGTAAAGTGCTTTGATGTTTAAAGAATTATCTAAGTATTAATTAGGGCTATTATTAGATAACCATTGGATATTAGCAAAAACATAAACATTTAACTCTGGATTTTGCAAATCAGACATCATAGCCATAACATAATAACTGAATATGGTTCAATTTACAAAACATTGCTTTTATGTGATCAACTGAATTAAACCACCCAGTTTAGATTGTTTTTCTCAGATCCTTAAGCCACTCAATCTGGAATGTCTAATTCATTATAAGGACCTGCACCTTAAATTTACCAATATCTCTTCTTTTCCAAATTTCATTGAAGTCTTTGTTATGTGTTTTCATTACAAGAATACCTGAATGTTTGAAAATATGAATTTACCTTTAATAGCTCAATATTATTTCTAGGTATTTATTATTTTTTATTTTTTATTGTTCTACTTATTATTTCTTTAGTGCAGAACATTTTGTTAGCCCAGGCCTAGGGTAGCACATATTTATGGTAATCTAAATGAGTGACAACAACTACTGTTGTGTTGAACTATGTACAAAAGAGGGTTTTTTTCTTGAAGATGGGCAGAATTGTTCTTGACTGATGCAAGTATTCTTGGAAAAAGAGGAACATTTGAAAGCAGAGCCATAAAACTGGAATAACCCTAAATCATTAAATTAACATTATTTTAAGTGTAGAAATTTATAATTCCAAAGCATAATTACTTTAAAACAGGGTTAACCTGTCTCATTTAAGGGCAAATACATCCCAAGGGCTCCAGTTTCAACAGTATCCTTCATAATGTAAAATCAGTTACATTAATGCAATGTAAGTATACTATTTTATAACCAAATTTTGCAGCCCAATTTAATGCATTTTCTCAAATGGAAGTCACATGAGTTTACTGCAGACCTATTTCAAGTAAATTGCACTTATTTCAAATAAATGCAGTGTTAAAGTATAGAAGGCAACAACTTGAATGTAGACAGTCTCCTAGATGTAAGACTGCAATTCTAAGCACACTTACCTGTGAAACCAGTCTCACTGAGTCCACTGAGACTGTTTACAAGTAGATATGCAGGATTACATTATCTGTACACAAAGTGTACAGTTCTTCTCAATCTTCTTCATGGACAACTTCTAAGCATAACATAGCATACTAATCATTCATGGGAGCTTAAAAAATTCCTCAAAACCACTTTATTTTAACAGCCTACTCGGAGGCTTACAGCTGCAAATTTAAGGGATTTACTAAGGACATACTTCATGACCTGTGAGATGAGTCTAGTATACTTTGTAGAACCCAGACACAGTATATTGAACTAGTCTGAAGGTAAGAATTTGGCGTGGCATTGTCATATTCAGTTATGTTTTAGTACAATACAAGATCATTGTATGTATGTAGATCAAATATATTTAACTTCAACGTAAATGCTATTTCATCCACAATTTCACCATTGGAAAATCCCTGCAATTTTACACAGTGTCACCCTGTTGTCATGAACTTAATTGTGAGCACCAAACTGCAGGATTAATAGCTGAGATGCGATTTCAGGAGCTGCTGTTGTGTAGTTACCTCATATTCTTAAGCCCATAATATTCAGTTGGGTGTAAGATGCATACACAGAGGGTTAATGCAACATTCCAGTCTCACTTTCTAGTAAGACTTACTTTCTAGTAAGGATAAGTAACAGCAATTCTTCTTACTTTTTCCATGGCTGAGTTGGGCCCCATGCCAATAGAGAAATTGAAAGGGCAGAAAGCACATTTTCCCCACAAAAGTAGACATTTCCCAATTACTTCCCAAGTGTTTAGTAGTCTGTAAACATACATGAGATTTCAATGTGCAGTAAAAGTCCCCCTTTTTCCTGAATTCAGAGACAGACCATATTATACTGCAATTATAAATGGGAACAAAATAGTTCCATACTCAAGGACTTGGGGAATAATGCAGGGCATAGGCAAGCTTCTTGAAGAACAAAAGCTAGTTTAGACCAACCAATCCATGCAAATAAAGATGACAATTATACTAGAGAGCAAGATTGTCTCTATTTCATAGTGGTTTGGGGAGCTGTGCAACAATGTGAGACCCAAGAGACTGTTCACCCCTCCAGTGGGTGATGAAAGATGGAAATGGCCTTCAACTCTCCAACACACATATTTTCTTTCTTCTTAGAAGAAGAGCAGATATCACTGAACACAGAGCTAATCGGAGGAGCACAGGTTGCCCCATCCCAATTCTCACTGCACCCAGTTAGGATTTAGAGTGGGAGGCTGCATTCCTCTGGAACACAGTCAATGGCTATAAAACAGGAGAGCATGTCATAAAAAAATAATGATGACAACAATAAACAGGTACTTGGATCAAACATGACACACTAGTGCAATAAAGCCCAATGTCACAATTTCCTTGATTTTGACATGACAATTGAGCATTATCAGACCTCAGTTACTCTAATCATCTAGCCCATGGACAGTACGATTTCAGCAGGAAAGGCAATGAGTCTGCCTTCTTGTTAAAGAAATATGCTGAGGTAGGGAAACCAATCATCTAACTTCAGTGAACGAGACCCTGAAAAGCAGCAAGCTGCATTAGGCAGTGATTTTCTCCCTAACTAAAGAACATGACCCATGATGTGGCATCCTTCATGCTGAAATACTTTGTAGTGCCATTAGTGTAGCACCCAGGAAAGGAAACTATACTTCCCCATGCATTGTCACCCATTCTCACTTGCCAAGAGACCAGCTCCTCCAAGTGCTGTGCCAAGATTCACTATTATAGGATTAGGTATTCTGCACCTTCTCTCCTATATTAGAGGGCTGAGATCACAAGGTCTTCTTGTTTGGCAGGACTGGACATATTTCCAGTGGGAGTGGAAGTCCGGATTTTGTTAGTGGTGAGGCATTCCTGGCTACTCATGCCTGTAGGAGTGAGGTCCATAAGCTCTCCAGAAGAACTCAGAGGGAAAGAAGGGGAAACAGATATGCCTGAGGAAGGATCTGTTGAGCCTGCAAATAACCTGGGGGGCTTTGGAACTAAGTTGGGTTCATACTGTGCTCTTAGCAAGATCTCCTGGTCACTGACTGACTTGGGAATCTCCGCAAAGTCACTGGTGCTGTCCGATACCATCATGCAGTAAATGTCCTGAAAGGAACTGCTTTTGCTGTCCAGGTTAAAGAGACTATCTATAAACTCCGCAAACTCCAACACTTGTGGGCTGGGGGCATCACTTAGCCTCCCATTTTGGAGAGTCATTTCTTCTGGAGTAAAGGAGATATGATCGATATCACTACCAGCACCTTCATCGCTGCATCGCCGCTGAGGAGTGGTGTCTCCACTGTTCTGCAGGCCCTCAGGAGGTTGAGTCTCCTGGGAGTGTTTGGAGAGGCTGTCAGCAGCAAGCAGTTCTGTCCGTGAGCTAAGAGAGGGGTTCTCCTCAGGAATTGCTGGATCAATATAAAAACAATGAGTTTCATCTTTTTCCATGACTGCATGGAGACTTGGTGAGCCACGGATGCTACGGAAACCAGAGGAACGCCTTGAATCAAAGCTATAGATGGATTCATTATCAGATAGGCTCTCCATTGTAGCAAGAGGAGCACGCCGGTCCTGCAGTTCTACAGACAGGCGTTCCTTAGTATCTAGTAGCAGGATCTCCACAGGATCCTTCTGCACTGGTGACAGCAGCTTGGTTTCATAAAACCCTTCCAAACTGATTTCAGAGTGAGCCTTATTCCTGCAAAAGGAGAATACAAATTATATGAGACTAAGATAAGACTAGACTATAATTTCCTGGAACAAGTTACAGAAGTGCATACAGAAGGCATGACTCTTTATGAAATTATGATATTCACCAACAGGATAGCAGGAACGAATAAGATCACCAGCAGCCCTTGTAAGCCCTTCTAGAAAATCAGAGCCATATCCTTACTTAGTACTGCTGTTCCTTCTGTCCACTGTTATGTCTCCAATTCCAATCTGTATAGAAGGTCTACTAGGCAGGGGTTGACTCAGGAAGATTAATTCCGGGTTGAGGTCCACTTCTGTAGGACTCACCATCACTTTGGCTGCAGAAAGCAAAGCTGTTTTGCCCTTGTTGTAATTTTCCAGGACCTATGTAAAGTAAATTAGTGAATAATAACTTTGCTGTACTTTCATTTCTAAGATATCTGCTACTGTTGAGTAGTGTTAAACAAAGAGAAATGTAGATCACTGTAAAGTAGCCTATAACAAATCATGTGATTTGTAGTATAATTAAGTTCTTACCAATGGCAAGATGGATAAAAAACTATTATACTATTGTATGTGTGTATATGTGTATATGTGTGTTGGAGAGTTGAAGGCCATTTCCATCTTTC